AGCTCCATCCATGTGAGGATAAGTCAAAGGTCCTGCTCGACCATTGTTGGCTTCTCTTGGAAGCATGGAGGAAATGATTCCTCCGTGTTGACCCTCCTCTTTATAGACTGGACACTGGCTCAAGTCCATCTGGTGGGGTCTCCTCAGCTTCCTTGATCAAGAGGCCAGATGACCCACCACCATTACAGGACTTTTTGCGTGATGCTCATAGTCCCTGGGAACTAATCGACCCAGGAGGGCAACATCCATAAGAAATAAAAGTGCAATTATTATCCTATAAGTCATCTTTCAATTATGAATTAATAATCTCAACCTGTATTTAATTTACATCCCCTCTTCAATTTCTTCAACTTACTGCTATTGACTTTCTTGAGTCAACGAATTTCTCATTTTCTAATTTTTATTGAGTGTGAGTAGCTTTAAAGAAATTTACATTGGAAGTCATCCATAAGAAATAAAAGTGCAATTATTATCCTATAAGTCATCTTTCAATTATGAATTAATAATCTCAACCTGTATTTAATTTACATCCCCTCTTCAATTTCTTCAACTTACTGCTATTGACTTTCTTGAGTCAACGAATTTCTCATTTTCTAATTTTTATTGAGTGTGAGTAGCTTTAAAGAAATTTACATTGGAAGTGTTTGCCAGATGGAGTCTTTAAAACATCCTAATGGATTTTGATAAAATTTTAATGACATGCTACATAGAGATGGTAAGGCTTGGAAAATTAGCCAGAGAGAGAGAGAGAGAGAGAGAGAGAGAGAGAGAGAGAGAGAGCGAGAGAGAGAGAGAGAGAGCGAGAGAGAGAGAGAGAGAGCGAGAGAGAGAGAGAGAGAGCGAGAGAGAGAGAGAGAGAGCGAGAGAGAGAGAGAGAGAGCGAGAGAGAGAGAGAGAGAGCGAGAGAGAGAGAGAGAGAGCGAGAGAGAGAGAGAGAGAGCGAGAGAGAGAGAGAGAGAGGAGAGAGGAAGGAAGGAAGGAAGGAAAGAAAGTCCATACACATTTGGAAATCACTAACTTCCTCCCCAAGTCTGGCATTATGAGATTACAGTACAAATGAAAGTATGTGGTCTTTGTAAACACAGGGCCTGTGAAAGTGAACAGATTTCACTATAGACTTGATTCCTTTCCTTCTCCATTGACTATACAGACATTTTTAATAGAATGGCTATTTTGTTACCTTGGCTGAACAGCCTGACAAATAATTAAAAACTAATACCAAGTAGAAAGAGAGCATTCAGTTGGAGTCCATAACTGCAGATTCTAACCTATATTTTGATATTTTCCTGACCTTGACCATCTCAAGTTCTCTCCCTGGTTTCCTGCCCTTGGATTTCTGATCATATATTGAATCTTGTCACTTTCATTAAATGCACCCCTTCTGAGGCTTCTGGGTCATGCATCATCTCCAAAAGTTCCTCTTCACCAGTCCCCATTAGGCCTTAAGTCACTGATTTAACCATTTCCCCCTAGTGTTCATATCCTCCACTCTCTCCTCCAAATATGGCCTGGGCCATCATTCTAATTTCCAGTCCCATATTTTTCACTTATTTTTTTGTCTGTTTGCTTTTGTGTCTCTCAACGAAATCTCAGCCTTGTTAACTTATGGCAAAAACATAGCCATATGTTCATCCCACATCAGCACCTGAACAGCTGGGCACGCCCAGAGAAACACTGGTTCAGCTCACTATAAATTCCTAAGCATTGACTAGTTTGACTCCCAAAAATATTCTGACAGTTATTAAACATTTCATTAGAAAAGTTCTCTTTCCCTTTCCCTGAAACAATTTTCACATCTTATTTGAATTCTTCAACTGTCAAAAACCCTATCCCTCATCTTCAGTTTTAAATGCTAACCACTCTTTACATGTCCTTTAGAAAAGGCAAAAAAAAGAGAAATCCATGTTATTTTCCCATAATTATGTCTGCAGACTCTTCCCAGGAGAAAGAAAGAATTTTTCTTTTTCTTCCAAGGCAACTCTTAATTTGGGAGCTGAATTTCAGAACTACTTGAGCATTTAATGATTCTGTTTTTACTGTGATCTTTTCTTCTGCATAATCATTTCCTCTCTTAGTTTTCCTTGAATAACTTTGATACAGATGTGTGTGTATAATTGACACAGATATATATTTTTATTGAGCTTTTGTGCATTTCATATCCTTCAGTGCAAATTCCTCCCCCTGGAGTCTAGTCAGTCTATCTAGAGATCGTTGGTAATGCCTGCTCTCCATTACCCAGTAGTATTCAGTCTCCAATAGTACCCAGATTAGGGTTGACCCACCACCCATTTCCCTTGCTCCACTCTGGGCCCTTATCTGATTGAGTTGGCATAGATCCTATGTTCCACATCACCACTGTCACAAGTTCACATATGTAAGCTTCCAGTGGCCTGAAA